TGCCCTTAAGAAACCTTCAGTCAAGGATGAGAAAATTTTGATTGACAAATGAGAAACCGATACTGTTATACATGCAACTTGGAAAATGCTTAAACTAAAAGTGGAGTTTTGTGTATTAGCTGTAGATTTCTAATTATATGTTGTCTTTATAGGAATGAAACAAAAGATGTGTAAGCCTGTTTTATAATTAGTAATGCTGTTGGTGTGCTTTGTACTTCCCCATTTAAAAGGATTCTTCGTTTTGACGCTGTAATTCACTCTGAGTGGATTTTCTAAGGCAAGAAAGAGTATTCTTCCTTAGAAACCCAGAGGAATTTCTAGTTGCTTCTGAATGGGATATCAGGCAAACATTTAATCTTTTATTCAGTGCCTTGTCTTTTGGCAGAACAGTTTTCTCACTTTTAGGTTTGGATAAGACTTTAGATTTGAGACAAAAGATTGATTCTTGGACTCTAAAATTTATCTAAAAACATTTGTTCTCATATGAATAACATGTACTTTAAGCATTTTCAGAATTTTTTGGACATCTTATACTTTGAACATAAGAATAGCATTGATGGAAAGAATATGAGAACCAAATGTAGTTTATCAATTAGAAAATAAACAACCATAGTTTTGTAAAATATGTGTGGTACCGTGGAAAGGACATGGAATTTGAAGTTAGAGAGATTGGGTTTAAGTCCTGGCATTATAACTCACTAGCTGCTGCACCTTGTGGGGGAAGAAAATACTGTGTCAAACTGCCTGTAAAAAAATGAAACAACTGTCCAGGCACAGTGGCTCATGCCTGTAATCCCAGCGCTTTGCGGGGCCGAGGCGGGAGGATCACGAGGTCAGGAGATTGTGACCATCCTGGCCAACATGGTGATGAAACCCTGTCTCTACTAAAAATACGAAAAAATTAGCTTAGTGTGGTGGCGCACGCCTGTAATCCCAGTTACTCAGGAGGCTGAGGCAGGAGAATTGCGTTAACCCAGGAGGCGGAGATTGCAGTGAGCCAAGATCACGCCACTTAACCACAGCCTGGGCGACAGTACGAGACTCTGTCTCAAAAAAAAAAAAAAAACTACTTTGTGAATGTTAACTATTAATTTGAGGCCTTGTAATTCTTTTCATTAAAGAGAATAAACAGATTGGTATGGCAGACACTGGTGTCCGAAGATTTTTGTTTGTACTTTTTAGCTGCGTTTGGTGTACCTCATACTCATAATTCAGCTGTTCTCTTTTTGGTTTGTAATTCTTATGAATGCTAATAGATACATGAGCTCAAAACCTTTAAAAATATTAATATAAAATGATTTTAGTTCTAGGCTATATTAATTTTGTATTTACTATGACCTAGTGAAAATTGAAGTATAGTGAAAGTATTTGGTAAAGTTAAATCATTATTGCTGTATTTTAAGTTGGATTAAACATGTAGGTTGTATATGAAATTATAATAATGGAGCAGAACCATATTTAAAATACTTTATTTGTAGTTTTGTTTGAACATTTTAAAGAAAACTTTGGGTGCAGAAGAATACTTGAGAAAAAGTTTCTATATTAAATAAACCCCAACTTGATTATTTGTATTACCTCTTTTGTAAACGTAATCAAATTATCAGAATTTAGAATATTATATAAAATTTTTTTCCACAGTTTTGAAGCTTTCTTAATTTTGGATGTTCTTTCTAAATCGCTTTTTGTAAAAAACAAGAATTTATGTGGGTAAATAGTGGGTTTATATATTTATGGGGTACATGAGATACTTTTGATATAGGTATACAATGCGTAATAATCACATCAGAGTAATTGGGTTATCCATTCCCTCAGGCATTTATGCTTTCTGCTACAAACACTCCACTTATACTCTTATTTTAAAGTGTACAATAAATTAGTGGTGTAGTCAACCTGTTGTGTTTTCAAATACTAGATCTTGTTCATTCTAACTATATTTTTGTGCCCGTTAACCATTCCCCCAGACCCCCCACCCCTGACTTTATTGCTTTTTAAATCAAGGAAGGGAGAGTTCTTTTTTTGTTAAATAGAAAGATATGCTTATTTTCTTGTCTATTTGAATTGACTCATCCATTTGTTTCCCTATTACAGCATTTTCTTTTGTATCTTAACACATGGGTGACTAGACACAGATTGACCTAGCAAAAGAAATAATGTTCCTGATTTTCTTGATAATCAGTGACCTCACACTGTAAAATTACATTCTTTTGCAGTATCCCTTTTACTATTCAGCGACTATGTGAATTGTTAACAGATCCAAGGAGAAACTATACAGGAACAGACAAATTTCTCAGAGGAGTAGAAAAGGTATTTATTTTATTATTGGAATTATGCTGCAGTTTAACAACTTTTATTAGAAAAGATGATTGAATAAGACCTGTTTCAGGTACCTGTTCTTGAAATATGTTTTCCATCCTACCTTGAGTTTCCCAAATTGTTTTCCAAGTTGCGTTTTATGTTTTACGAAGAGATTTAATAGGAGCAGGTAGGGGAGAGTTTGCATATTGATCATTGAAGTTTGGGAAAAGCAGCTTATTATTTCTTGGAAAATCATAGTGTACATCAACTTATTAAAGGTTCTGAGAAGTTATAATTGCTATTTTAACTTTACAGAGTGTTTTATAAAGTTTATTTATGCATGGAATTTATTTTCTCAATTCTGGAGTTCAGAGGTACATAACTTTGGAAATTTACTGATGCAAAGCTTGTAAATGAGGTATTGAGTAGAAAGATGCAGGTGAGATTGAGGGATAAACATTAGTGTTTGTGTGTGTGGAGGGAGTTGAGTGAATGTTAGAGTAAGGGAAGGGTATTCTGAATAAAGGAAATGGTGTGAAGAACAAAGATTCAAGGTATTTAAGGGAGTGAAAAGTAAGAAATTGACTTGAGTGAAAAATGAAGGAGCCCTGTGAGAACCAAGATCGGACTAGCGAGTTCTAGTTTTCTGTTGATGATTGGTCCTCAAACACTCCAGTGTTCATTTTAAGGATCTGGTTCAAATTCACTTTATTTTACCCTGGAAACAGGAATCGTAAACCATTACATAGTGATTTGCAATAGCTCTTGAGGCCTTACTGGGTTAATATGTTTTGTTGATCCTCTGTACACTCAATTGAATAATATCCCCAAAGGCCAGGAAACTAAGATGGTTCATCAGTACTTATTTTTCAGCTCCAGGAGTTTTAATAATTAGATTTCTGAGATCTTTGGGTAAAGAAGCAATATGTTGCAGTAGTCATACCAGGTGCCCTGCCTTTAAATCAGGGTTACAGTGCTTCACAGTTGTGTAACCTTGGGCCAGTTAGCTTTCTTCTCAGTAAAATGTGGTTAATAATAGGGCTGTGAGGGGGATTAAATGCAAAACACTATGGCTTATAAGTGAACACTGACTACTAGTAAAGTTATTTTTACCAGGAAGATTGTGAATATATTACAAAAAAAGGTTTGAGTCTCTTTGTGTGGGATGTATGATGCAACATAACAAGCTATGGATTGGGTGTTGCTTTGTAATGAAAATCAGTTACATGTGTCCTAAATACTTCAATCTCTCGACATCTTTGGGTGATTCCACCTAAAATAAGAGAGCTTGGTTCCACTACTACATATAGTATATGATGTCAGGGGTCTAGAATAACTAGATTAGGGTAAAAAATAAGTCTAGGGAAAAAAAATCAGTGGCTGAGTAGGATACTCTGTTTTGGTCCTTTTAGTTTTTGTTGTTTTTATTTTTAACCATTTATTTTTCATTTAACTGGTTTTCATTTTTAACCATTTATTTTTCTTTATTAGCAAAATTAGAATCAATGGAATTTAACCCACCACCATGATTTTAGAAACAAGTTAAAAACAAATGATTAAACTTTATGTTGTAGTACTTTTCCTCATACTAAATAACTAATTTTTGTTATTGCAGAATGTGATGGTTGTTAGCTGTGTTTATCCTTCTTCAGAGTATGTATATTTTTTCTATTTCTAGTATATTATTTAATACTGTTTTTAATTATTTTATTGCTTCTAATACGTTATTCTTAAAATATACTGGATTTATTTTACATGTAATTAAGTGTGATAACATACTTGTGAACCTACCATTCAATCCCCAAAGTAGAATATTACTGATAACATTATCTGTATGTTTTTTTTTTTTTCCAGTAAAGAGATGTGAATTAAAGAGATTAGTCATTTACTATAATTTAAATGTTACTGGATTTTGCATACTGTCAAATGGCACTCATTTCCCTGAAATGCCATCTTAGATGTCTTTCCATGGTATCTCTAGGGCATAATTCCCATATTTGGAATAACTGCTTGATGGCTTTTCTCTTTATGATGGAAAAGTGTTTGTAGTTGTCAAGATTTATATACAGCAAAGTAAGAATTAAATTTAGGACACAGTTTCTCAACCTTGGAACCATGGACATTTTGTACCAGATAATTCTATTGTGAGTGGCTGTCCTGGGAATTATGAGATTTTGCAGTGTCCTAGACCTCTACCCATTTATACCAGTAGTGTTCCCCTCTTCAAATATCTTTAGACATTGCCAGATGTTCTCTGGGGATGTGGAGTACAGGGAGGGGAGGTTGTCCCTGTTGAGAACCATTGGTTTAAGGTTAATCTGGCTCTGCTTTCATAGACTACTCTGTACCCAGGCTGGAGTGCAGTGGTGAGTGATCATAGCTCACTGCAACCTTAAACTCCCAGGGGCTTAAGTGATCCTCCCACCTTGGCCTCACAAAATGCCAAGATTACAGGTGTGAACCACCACGCCCAGCCCAGTGAATTTGTTTTTTAGAATGTTCTCAAGAATATAATTATGTTGTTAAATAAGAGTCTAAAATAATTCCATACTACGTTTCTTGACAGAAAAACTATTAAAATGTATAAAATTTCTTTCCTTTATGAACCAAAATATGTTTTGTTTTGCTAATTAATGTGAGGTATTTTGGAAAAATGGTAAAGAAGTGCAGTCAAGACATAGTGACTAATAACGGATTCTTTTCTTAAATTGTATGCTTATGCTAATTCTCACAAAGTCTTTTTGTTTGGGTCTGTGACAGATCTTACAAAAGATCTTTTAGACCCATGATTCATACCAAAATTAAAGAATTAAGTCGGAATCAATCTCCCACATTGTCTCATCTAAGAAAGGACTTGCAGACCAGCAGCCCTCCAGATGATGCAGTGGACACTAATGGCCTCCTGGACCTTTGAGGAAGATTTGAGCTGTCCGGGAAAAGCAGACAGTATTCACTTGATGTATTGGAACCCACACCCAGCATTGGGGGTGTTAAGGACATTAAAAAAGCAGCCAAGTCTGTGCTAGACCCAGCAAATAAATCTCATTTCCACCCTGTGACCCCAAGTTTAGTATTCTTGTGCTTTATATTTGATGGGTTACACAAGGCATTGCTAAGTGTTGGTGTGAGCAAGAGGTCTAATTGTGGTTGGGAACGAGAACAAGGAAATGGGTACTCCTTATGCTAGCAGTTTTAAAAATATGCCTAATTTTATTGCCCTTGAGAAGTCATCAGCTCTCTGCCACTGCTGTGGCCTTTTGATAGGCATTGTCGCCGGATCAAGTGTTAAGATTGGAACCAGCAGTCTCCAAGTTCAGAGACGATTCAAGGCAATGATGGCATCTATTGGAAAACTTTCACATGGTGAGAGTACTGATCTGCTGATCAGCTACAATGCAGGATCAGCCATAGGTTGGATCAGCTCAAGACCATGGGTTGGAGAATTAATGTTGACATTTCTGTTTGGAGAATTTGAATTCCCTGAATGCAAGCTACTTGGTCAAGTCAAGCTAGTTGCTAAGAAAGCACAGATGACAACCTGTTATGCTGTGAGAATGTTTCTAGATCAGTGCATGGATGGCTCCACTGCTCTACCTGCCATTGTGTCTGAGATCCCAGTCTTTGAGGAGAAAAAAAACAACGGTTAAAAAGGCACTGGGGAAGTATTTTGAGTTTGGGAGTTTACTTTGCCTCACCATGAATGTTCCCAAACTTAGCAACAGCAGCAAACTACTGGGCCAAGAGAAGCAACCCCACATTTTCAAGATTTAAAGCTCCTGGTGTTATACCAGGATTAGTCATCACACTCCCTTTGCTTCAAATAACATCCACATGTAAGATCTCAAAGGGGAGCATTGGTGGAATCATGGATCCATGCACTCAGGAAAAAAAAAAAAAAAAAAAAAAAAAAAAAAAAAAAAAAAAAAAAAAAAAAAAATGCTGGGTGCGGCGGCTCATGCCTGTAATCCCAGCACTTTGGTAGGTCAAGATGAGCAGATCACTTGAGGTCATGAGTTCAAAACCAGCCTGGCCAACATGGTAAAACCCCATCTCTACTAAAAATACAAAAAATAGCTGGACATGGTGGCGCACATCTGTAATCCCAGCTACTTGGGAGGCTGAGGCACAAGAATCACTTGAACTTGGAAGGTGGAGGTTGCAGTAAACCGAGATTGCGCCACTGCACTCCAATTTGGGTGACAGAGCCAGACTCCATCCCAAAAAATAAAAAAAATGAAGTCATCCATAAGTATATTTTCTTTTCTTATAGGAAGAACAATTCCAATAGTTTAAATCGAATGAATGGTGTTATGTTTCCTGGAAATTCACCAAGCTATACTGAGAGGTGAGATTATTGATTTTTAGTACCTATGGAGTTTGTGTTGTCCTGATTTCGAGTGGCACACTTAGTGTACTTTTTAAAAATTGGGCATTTTGTGGACACTATAAGATAAACTACATAGAATTTATTAATTTGATAAGCCATGGGCCTGAAAACACAAGTTGCAGCAAATACTTCTGTGATATATTCACATAAACATACCGTAGGAGGGATGACTTTTTATAAAAATAGGAAATGATGTTTATTTATCTTATTATAGGTCTAATATAAATGGGCCTGGGACACCCAGGCCACTTAATCGACCAAAGGTTTCTTTGTCAGCTCCCATGACAACAAATGGGTTGCCTGAGAGCACAGACAGCAAGGAGGCAAATTTGCAGCAAAATGAAGAGAAAAATCACAGGTTTGTGTATGTTTTATATTAAAAATAATATTTTTATTAGTAGTTAACAATCAGTACTTATCACTTACTAATAAGTTCTGAGTGACAAAACAAGGTTTTCATGTGGTTTATAGGAGCAGTGGCTTCTCTGCAGCAGTAGCAAATGTTGAAGGTGGACATAGACAAGACTTAAAACTGCTAATTTGGGGAGACTGTTTATGTAGGGTCTAACTGTAAAGTAGTTTTGATACATTTCATTTGTTATTTCTGAAAGTTACTTGAAAGAGAAAAGATCTTTATAAATAAGTTGGTTTTGTGAATAGTTTCTCATTGTAGTTCATAAAAGGACATCTTTTATTTATACCTTCAAATTTTCTATATCACACTAAGGGAAGGAAGACTGAATGAGGGAGAGAACTTAGTATTTCTGTATGGAAGTCTTGCGGTTTTATTATAGGAGAATATTTAATTTACTGGAGAATTGCACAGAAAAGTCATAAAGCTTTTCTAAGTCCTACTGGGAATTATTCATCAAACAGTTTAGGTTGCCTTGAAATTATTCTCTTTGGTTTTTCTTTGCTCAGGTGTTATAATTTAACTTTGACACTAAAATGCAATTTAAAACACTAACCTTAAAAATGGGGATGTAGAAGATGGGGAAAATAATTTTATTAACGACACTATAAAAAAAAACATTTACAGTGACTCTTCGACATCTGAATCAGAAGTTTCCTCAGTGAGCCCTATGAAAAATAAACATCCAGATGAAGATGCTGTGGAAGCTGAGGAGCATGAGGTAAAAAGACTCAGGTTTGACAAAGAAGGTGAAGTCAGAGAAACAGCCAGTCAAACGACTTCCAGTGAAACTTCTTCAGTTGTGGTAGAAGAAACAGAAGCATCATCTTCATCTCAGGATAAAGACAAAGAAAGTCATTGTACCCGGCAGCACTGTACAGAACAGGATGAAGAAGAGGATGAAGAGGAAGAAGAAGGTATTTAGAGACCATCTGTAAAAGGGTGGAGTAAGGAGATCCTCAAATTCTTGTACTTCATTTTTTTTCATGAAAGAATTTTACGTAACGGAACTCCTTATAATGCTGATGTTGGGCTTTTCTCCCACCTGTATGTAGTTGCTGCTGAATTTCAGGGTATATGATTTGAACTATAGAATATCAGAATTCATGAAACTTAACTGTGGAGGTATTTTGAAAATAAAATTTAACTACAACAACATTTGCTTATTTTTAGAGTCTTTTATGACATCAAGAGAAATGATCCCAGAAAGAAAAAATCAAGAAAAAGAAACTGATGATGCCTTAACTGTGAGTGAAGAGACTTCTGAGGAAAATAATCAAATGGAGGAATCTGAAGTGTCTCAAGCTGAGAAAGATTTACTGCACTCTGGAGGTAGTGAAAACGAAGGCCCTGTAAGTAGTGGTTCTTCTGACTGCCTTGAAACAGAAGAATTAGTAGGATCCAATTCCAGTAAAACTGGAGAGATTCTTTCAGAATCATCCATGGGAAATTATGATGAAGCCACAGAAGTCACCGATGAACCAATGGAACAAGACTAACTATTTAGAAACATTTAGATGCAGTATTTTACATACAGTTCTGGTTTTAACACTGTATAAAACTTTTATGTAATAAAGTGGACCTTTAGTTTTACAAGAGAAGCAGGTTGTAAAATAAAGTACTTTATGGATAATTCCTGAAAGAGTTGTATATGTAAGAACTGTGAATATCAGCTCCTCTGGGTCCTGCTTACCTTACCGCTGACTTTTTTTTTTTCTCTTTTTCTTTCTTTGGTCTGGGCAAATCAGTGGTTTGTGTATAGATTTTTTTTTTTTTTTTTNTTTTTTTTTTTTTTTTTTTAATTTGGAATTAAAGTTTTTAAACTGGAAGGTAATAATTATAATTTTGAAAAGTTTTTTGAGATTATCACATTTAGTTTATGCATATGCAAGAAGCTTCTTGTCTCTTTCTGATAGCTCTAGCAGTTTTCATATTTTGGTCATAGTTTCAACATATTAACATGTGAATTATAGGGTTTCAACCTGGTTTCCAGATTTTATTATTTGGCTATGTACAATGGAACTTTAAGTCATATATACATAAATATATATATATATATATATTATTCTAAGGGGGGAAATGTTATATTTTTCTGTTTCTATAAGAGATGAATACAGTGGATACTTTTTCTATTGGTAATGATTGAGTTCACCTCTTTCAGAAGACATTTTCTTTCTCTTCTGAGTAATTGAAATAAAATCTGGCTCTTGTGAAACCCTGGAAATCTTAAGTCTGTTGAAATACCAGGCTAAACACATTCCAAGAAATCTGTTCAAACTCAAATTCTTTTGTATACTTGTGAGGTGCCTGAGAAAAAGACTTCATTATTTATGAGAAAATATGCTTTATCTTGGAAATTGTGTTCAAATGTTAGCTTACTATTTTGTAGAATGAATGCTTATGAAGCTGATAGGAGACCATCTCAGAAGAACCAAGCAGGTTCTGTGACCTTTTGCTTGCTTTTCGGAACATTGTGAATATTACACGTCTTTCTAAATTATTCTAGAGTATGCAAATGTCAATGGTATGAAACACCACTGTACTGGAAGAATTAATATATTACTTTAGTTATGTACCTGAGCTGAATGACTGAAGCTTTAGGGGTGCATAGAGACCACCATAATTTGTATGACATTTTGAAGTGAATTAAATATTTTTGAACATGCTTCTTCGACAGCCAGTGTTCTATTTTTCAGATCAACACAAAGCACAATGATTACTTCAAATTCAGTATTTTCAAATTTACATGTTTAAAGTCATGCAAGCTGCAACTTCCCTGTCAAAATTACTGGCTGCCAAATTTATACCTGTTTCTTCAGCTGTACCTTTTGATATTTAGAGTTTTTAAATTTCTGTAAAGTAGATTTTGTAGAATGTAATGTGTTCACTGCCTTTGTGAAGCGGTATATAGTTGTATAATTTCTGTGTGTAAACTGAATGCTTGGGCTTTCAATACAGTATTCATATAAAGCAATAAATATTAATGTTATGAAATATTTGAGTACCTTTTTATCAAAATATGAAAGAATCCCTTTTTTTTAAGTTTCAGATACCTGAACTACACAGATGAGCTTCTAAAAGTGATGCAAACAATTTCTGACACTGTATCATATGCTTTTTGGGTGATTTGGGGGGCAACCACGAGTTTTACATTTTGACTACTTAAATTGTCATGACTATAAATACGAAAACGATTTGGATCTATTTATGTTTGTAGGATAATGTACTACTGACTGACTTGACTGTCAGATTCACAGCAGCTGGATGATATATTTATGTCTAATAGTTGGAATAAAATCTTAACATGGATTTACTGTACCCAAGAGGGGAAAAATTAAACATTGTAAATTTTAAACATTTTCAAAAATGTTAAAATGAAACAAATTTAAGTTTAGAAATTTTGAAAGTTTCTTTAGAATATTTATGAAATTGTCAGTAAACCTACCTAAGATCCTGTGACCTTTGATATTTTTTATTTTAATTGTAGTGCCATGGACCATTTGTAAACAAATTGATGTACTTTTGTTGGTTATAAGTTGAAGATTTAGCATTAACGACTTTGAGGTCTGTGGTTTTATTTGTAAACTTGCAATTGCTATATTTGCAAGAGCAAATGTATTTCTTTATTAAATAAAGTACAATAATGGTGAATGTACCAAAGTGACATCACTTAACTCTATGAGAGATCTGCATTTTAATCTATAGTTTAATAGTTTTAATATTTATTAGATACTCATATGTTGATCATAGATCAAACTTGTTGCTGTTTATACAGATAATTGTAGAATGCTCATGGAATATCTTCTTTAGGGTAGGTGGAATACTTCTGTAGTTAAATTGGGAAATCCTTGTTAAGCTGGTTTTAGATACTGATGGCCATTGGAAGTAAATTTCCACAAGTATGCATAGGTGCACTTAACACAGACTTTGCTTAATGAAAATGTCAGTTCTAATAGTAACTGATTCATTTATGAATTTTTAAAAAGCTGATTTTGGGCATATTTCTTAACATACATCAAGTAGAGTCCTATTAAAAGATCTGAGTGAAGAATCAAGACCTCAGTGATTAAAGATACTTTGTTTTTGACCTTGAGCAGATTGCTTACCTGTTCTCTAGACTATAACCCAACATGTAAAAAGAATTTGAAGATGCTGA